AGGTTCTATAGGACCATAGGAGACCAGGTGTTGGAGGTTCTATAGGACCTGAGGAGACCAGCTGTTGGAGGTTCTATAGGACCTGAAGGGACCAGTTGTTTGAGGCTTTATAAGACCAGAGGAGACAAGGTGTTGGAGGTTATACAGAACCTGAGGAGACAAGGTGTTGGAGGTTCTATAGGACCTGAAGGGACCAGGTGTTGGAGGTTTTGGAGGGAATGTTGTCCCATTCTGGTCTGATGGAGGATTCGAGCTGTTTTACAGCTCTGGCTCCGTTTTGCTAAATGTTCTGCTTGATGACACATCTGAAGTTTTCAGACTTGCTCCTGGCCTCTTCTTCTATGAAGCCAGGCTGTTGGAATGGACACAGGATGCCGTCTTCTCTGAACTAAAGTTCAGAAATGTTCTGTGGTCAGACAGAGCCAAATCTTAAATTCTAGGAAACAATGGACACCATGTTCTCTTTACTGAAGAGGAACCATCCAGCCTTTTATAAGTGCACAGTTTAAAAGCCTGCCTCTCTGATGTCGTGGTGGTACATTAGTGCCTCTGGAAAGGCAGTGGTTCTGGATGGTGTTCACATCTGGCTTTTTCTTTGCCTGATAGAGCTTTATGTGGTGGAACAGTGAACTGTGTTTACAGACACTGTGGAAGTGTTCCTGAGCCCAGAACAGAACCAGACCTGGTTTTAATGCAGTGACCCCTGGGGGCCCCAAAGATCACAACCTCCCAGTGTTGACTTTCATCCTCCTCCTTTGAGCTCAGAGTTCTACAGATTCTTGAAGTTTTTGATGACATCATTACGTGTAGATGATGGGATAGTCAAAGTCTACTTCATTTCATTAGAGGACCATTATTCTGAAGTCACTGCACTGACAGTTTGTCTGACGGCTGAACATCTGCCCATCTTTACTTCTGAGAGATCCAGCCGCTGTAAAATGCTCCTTTTGTATCCAGTCCTCTTAATGACGTGTTGCTAATTAACTTATTAGTTGCAAAATTCTCCTCCAGCTGTTTATTTGCAGCATTTACTACAAACCGGATTCCAAAAAAGTTGTGACACTAAACAAATTGTGAAAAAAAACTGAATGCAATGATGTGGAGGTGCCAACATCTAATATTTTATTCAGAATAGAACACAAATCACAGATCAAAAGTTTAAATTGAGAGAATTTATCATTTTAAGGGAAAAATCTGTTGTTTCCAAATTTCATGGCGTCAACAAATCCCAAAAAAGTTGGGACAAGTCCATTTTTACCACTGTGTGGCATCCCCCCTTCTTCTTACAACACTCAACAGACGTCTGGGGACAGAGGAGACCAGTTTCTCCAGTTTAGAAATAGGAATGCTCTCCCATTCATGTCTAATACAGGCCTCTGACTGTTCAATCGTCTTGGGCCTTCTTTGTCGCACCTTCCTCTTTATGATGCGCCAAATGTTCTCTATAGGTGAAAGATCTGGACTGCAGGCTGGCCATTTCAGTACCCGGATCCTTCTCCTACGTAGCCATGATGTTGTGATTGCTGCAGAATGTGGTCTGGCATCATCGTGTTGAAAAATGCAGGGTCTTCCCTGAAAGAGATGACGTCTAGATGGGAGCATATGTTGTTCTAGAACCTGAACATAGTTCTCTGCATTAATGGTGCCTTTCCAGACATGCAAGCTGCTCATGCCACAAGCGCTCATGCAACCCCATACCATCAGTGATGCAGGCTTCTGAACGGAGCGTTGATAACAACTTGGGGCCCAGAGATCACGAGCATCCAGTAGAGTTTTACGGTCTTGACCCTTACGCACAGCGATTGTTCCAGATTCTCTGAATCTTTTGATGATGTTATGCACGGTTGATGATGATAACTTAAAAGTCTTTGCTATTTTACGCTGGGTAACACCATTCTGGTATTGCTGCACTATCTTTCTGCACAACAATGGTGGAATTGGTGATCCTCTTACCATCTTGGCTTCTGAGAGACACTGAGAAGCTCTTTTTATACCCAGTCATGTTGTCAATTGACCTAATTAGTGTTAATTGGTCATCCAGCTGTTCGTTATATGCTCAATTTCCTTTTTCCAGCCACTTATTGCTACTTGTCCCAACTTTTTTGGGATTTGTTGACACTGTGAAATTTTGAATCAACATATTTTTCCTTTAAAATGTTACATTTACTCAGATTAAACTTTTGATCTGTCATCTATGTTGTATTACGAATAAAATATTGACATTTACCATCTCCACATCATTGCATTCAGTTTTTATTCACAATTTGTTTAGTGTCCCAACTTTTTTGGAATCCGGTTTGTATGTTTCATTGTAAATCAAATACAGGTTTCTTAATTAATCTTTATAAATACATTGACTTTTATTTTTAACAAAAAAAAAATAAAAAAATCACCAAAAAAAGGTTAAATCATGTCTCTGGACAGTCATTTGGAAAGAAAAATCTAAAAGTTAAGTCCGGTCCTCTGGACGGATTACAAATAAATAAAAATAAAAACATAAAAAAAGAAAAATAACTGCCTTATTAGAAAATTCAAGCTCTTTCTGGAAATCTGAACCAGTTTGGTTTAGCAAACCGGGTTGGGAAGCAGTATTAAATACAGCACACTCCCCAGCTAACTCCTTGTTGCTCCTCCTCTGCAGGCCATCTACAAAATGGTGGGCACCGTGATCATGATGAAGATGAACGAGGACGGTCTGACACCACAGCAGAGGGTAGACAAGATCTTCAGCAAAATGGATAAAAACAACGACGACCAGATCTCGCTGGAGGAGTTCAAGGAGGCGGCGAAGAGCGACCCGTCCATCGTGCTCCTGCTGCAGTGTGACATGCAGAAGTGAGCCCCCCCACACACCTCCACACCTCCCTGCTCGCTCCTCTCCCTCATCTGCATCCACTCTGGACAGCAGCACACGGTTAAATGTCTCATTAAGTTCTCTGCCATTTCTACAGGAAAACAAAAGTAATGCTTGGACTATTTTTCAATGGACTCGCTTCTTGTGGTCGTGTGCATGAGAATGTCAAATGCAGATTAATTTTGAAAATAGCTATAAGACGTCATAGGTTTCTATTTAAAAAAAACAAACGAACAAAAAAAACCCACGCCGATGTGATTTGTGCACAGTGACCCTCTCATCCAACCTTAGCTTGTACCTCAGTGGAGCACTGCGTTCACTTTTGTTTCTGCAGTATTTAGGATCCCCAGTGTTCACTGCTGCAACTACTGTACGCTTCAACATAATCGTAACAAAAACAATAATTCCTATGATAATTGTAACCGTCTCTACTATCCAGACTTGTCGAGCTCTTGGAGAATAGAAAGACTCCGGTCTGTTTCAGATGTTTTCACACGACAGAACCAAGAAGAGTAGGTTCTTTGCATGCATATATTACGTGTCAGAAAATTTAACCTCTTACCTTTTGCAACTTTAGGTGGCTATAAAAGAGAAAACCCTCATTTATTCTTGTTGCATGGGCTGTACAGTGTGTGACGCATCCGTTCACCTTCAGTAACGTGGGAGCATGCTTCCCTCCGTTTGAGCAGCGTTTCTGAAAGCCGTTCGGGTCGCAACTCCCCCAAAAAAAGCTTTCACGTAAACACGCAGTCCCGTTTTGCTTCAGTGACTTCTGAGATGAACAGAAAGATAAATTTATGAACCATCATTCCCTTTGAACGTGTTGTTCTGCTAACACTTCACCCAGAGGAAAGGCCCAAATTCCAGCTGTGATTGGGCGGTTTGCTGAAATCTGCTTCCCGTCAAGCTGCTTCTTTGATTTTTTTAGGCTTGGGGGACAAAACTGTATTTAATCAAGTTGGCATCGACTTTAAGTAATTTTACTCTACATATCAACATGTTTACAGAAATTAAGAGCACTGCAAAACTAGAATGTTCCTGGAGAAACTTTGACGGGGACTGCCACGTGGCGGCCATTTTTAAATTTTGATTTGACAGTACTGCGTGTTGGGGCTCGCTCTCAGCTACTAACGAACAAAATTTCAGCTTAAAATTTCAAAATATCAACGAGTTAAAGTCAGTTTTTCTTTTAAGCTATGGTGGCCATCTTGAAGTTTTTTTATTTCATTATTTACTGGGCAATGATCTCAGCTACTACAAATTTCAGTTTAATATTTCAACAAATGGATGATTTACTGTATTTTTCTTTTTTAGCTCAGGTGGCCATCTTGGATGTTTGATTTGCAACCGGTCTATGAAAAATGACTAATAAAAATGGCGTCTTTGCAAATTACGTCGCCGTGGTAACACAAAACGCCAATAAAAATAATAGCACACATCACGGTGCCGAGGCGGTCGTTTTGATATAACATTTATGAGGGTACACACTGTGGTTTGGACCGCTTTAAAGTTGATGGAAGAATAAGATATAAAGTTAAGAAACCCTTGTCAGGTGGATAATAATAGGTGGCTGCTTCAGGCAGTCCTCAATAATTAGTGTAGACTTTTGACCCCGTTGCTGGGAGCTCAGTGTCAGAGTGGCTCCACGAACAGCCTCGTATACGTTTACTGGACAAGCTGCATTCCTTCACGTGAAGCCTTTTTGTAAGGAGAAACATTTATCGAAAAGTGTCACCTTCAGTTCGTTTGCAGCGATCATTAAAGATGCGGACACGTCCAGGGAGGTGCACGATGAAGCTTTTGAAAGAGAGTTTCACTGAGAAGTTCGTACCGATCCATGATATTCTGGCGTTTTAACAGTTTGCACCCCCACATTCACAGCCTATGCAAGCATGGGCCGAGCGTCCGCTTGTTGTTCCCGTCTGGGTCGTGGGAGCTGCAGAAGCTTTTCATTGTTTTCTCCGTAACCGAAATAAAACCAACTCTTCAGCGTCTCAATCATTTGTAAAAAAAAAAATTCAGTCCGGACAGATTCTCTCTTTTTTTTTTTTTGTCAAGTAAATGTTTATATCAAATATGAGAAATAATTATGTGACTGTATTCTTTTATACATGTGGCATGTGTTGCACCCAAAGTCATTTCTGTCGTGTTTTAAATTAATAAACCATCAACAGGCTTTTTTCAAAACACACAAGCTGGCAGGTGGAGTTACTGGCTGCGCTCATCACACACGATCAACTGAAGTGTGTGTGTGTGTGTCGGTGGATTTATGGTTGTTGTTTGATTTCTACAAAGCTCTGCAGATGGAATAAAACTGGCTTCATGAAGCTAAACGTTCTCACCTTTACAGAACACGTCCTGGGATTCAGGCTGTTCTTGAAGTTTTCATCTCAGCAGGGTGCGAAAGTATTCATCCCTCTTGCTTTACAACCCTAGGATATTTAATTTGATTAAAAGCATCAATTCTAAAATTAAATAAATAAATAAATAAATAAACTCATTATTAACGTCAAAATGGGCAAAACATTTTAAATACATTCAAAAGTTACAAACCTGAAAGGTGGTACATTCTGAATGATTTAACGCTCCAACCTTCACCTTCAGAGGTCACCGCTGGTTAAATAAGATCCACTCGTCAACCCGAGTGTTAAAAGATCTAAACCTTCAGAATCAACAGTTCAACACCTCTAAGTCGTGCAAGCTACCACCAAGTGAGAGACATCATGAAGACTAAGGAAATGTCCACACAGGTCAGAGATAAAGTAGTTGAGAAGTACACATCAGGGTACCCCAGGACACAAAATGTCCTACAGAGCTCCATGAAATCCATTAGGAAATGGAAAGACGATGCCACCACAGCAAACCTGCTGAGACAAAATCTCGTGGACGGCATTAATCAGAGAAACATCCAGGATGATGGATGGAGGTTTGGAATTCCTTCCCCAAACCTGTGAACGAAGCTGCTGTGGTCCGATGGGACCAAATATCAAGGACAGCACCACGTCTGAGACAAATCTTCCACCTCATCCTGCTGAGAACATTCCTACAGCGAAGCACGGTGGTGGCAGCATCATGCTATGTGGATGTTTTTTTCCATAAGCAGACTGGAAAACTGGTCAGAGTTAAAGGAATGATGGACGAAGTCAAATAGAGAAATCCTTGAGTGGGAAAAGTCCAGAGATTTAAGACCGGGACAAAGGTCCACCTTCCAGCAGGACAATCACTGAACACACTGGTGAAGCAACACTCCACTGGTTTAAGGAGATCTGGTTAAAGATCCTGGAATGGTCCGGTCAAAGCTCAGATCTCAATCCATCTGAGAGTCGCTGATTTGAGTTAAAAACTGCTGGACACCATCCACCTTACAGGAGCTGGAATGGTTTGGTTCAAAAGAATGGACAGAAAGTCCAAGTTAGATGGACCAAGACCATGGAGACAGACCTGAAGAGACTTGAAGCTGGACCACATGCAGAAGATGGTCCTGCTATGTATTAAATTTGGGGGCTGAATACAAATGCAGACACCTTTTTATTTCTTTGCAAATTGTTTTAAGGGGAAAAAAATCTCCATTTCATTTTAATCAATATATTTTTTGTAGAATATTTTGTTTTAATTAAATGAACAAAGTGTTATTTAGATGCACATTACAAAGTGCTTAACTTTAAAACAGAAACATCAAAAATGGAGAGTTTTTTTCAAAGCAAGTTTAAAAAGTTGAGTCTGCAGATCTTCAGCTGTGAGGGAGACAGCTCCAAAAACTTCAAATTAAAAACCTAAATAAATTCCAGGTTGAGTCGAGCACAGAGAAATATTTCCAAAAGGAATGAAAGAAATATGTTTGAATTTCTCCATAATATTTATTGCAATTGCTTTTAACAAACAAATATAAGAGAAACGAGAGTAAACGTTCAGCCTGAAACATGAGAGGCTGAGCATGTGAGAACAGAGAACACAGAACAGAACAGAGAGAGACCAGAGAACAGACAAAAAACACAGAGAACAGAGTGAGAACAGACAGAGAACCGAACAAGAACAGACAACACAGAGAGAACAGACAGAGAACAGACAGAGAACAGGCAACAGACAGAGAACAGAGAGAGAACACAACAGAGAGAGGCCAGAGAACAAACAAAGAACATACAGAGAACAGAGAAACGAGAACAGACAGAACAGAGAAACAAGAACAGACAGACAACCGAGAAACAAGAACAGACGGACAACCGAGAAACAAGAACAGACGAACAACAGAAAAACAAGAACAGACTGACAAGAGAACAGAGAACAGACAAGAGAACAGAGAAACAAGAACAGACAGACAACAGAGAAACAAGAACAGATGGACAACAGAGAAACAAGAACAGATGGACAAGAGAACCGAGAACAGACAAAAGAACAGAGAAACAAGAATATACAGAGAACAGAGAACATATAGAGAACAGAGAAACAAGAACATACAGAGAACATATAGAGAACAGAGAAACAAGAACAGACAGAGAACACATGATATCAGATGTCTTAAAGGTGAATATTTGCACCTGACATTTATAGATCCTCGATCATCAGGAGTCTTACGTCCCTCACAGTGACAGCAGGAGGTTTGCTCAAAAAGTCTGATCAGAAAACTTTGGCTGATAATAAAATAACAAAATCTGATATTAAACTAAATAAAAATCTCATAAAATGTATAACGCCTTCATGTGTTCTTTTCCTAATAAAACAGTAAAAATAAATGTATTTATTAAATTAAAGAAAAAAAATTCATAAAGTCTTCAGTTTTTAACTTTACAGGTAAAATAAAAAACAAAACCACAAACAGCACATCAAACGCTCGTCGACAAACTTTCCAACAACAATCTGCAGCAACGGCCCAGACAAGCAAAGACCTTGTATAAACTTTGACCTTGATTTGTGACCTTGAAAGTGGGGTGATGAAGTGTGTATGCGACACTCCGTCTAGTGATGATGCAGATGTGTGAAGTTTCACCAAATTATCTCGAGCAGAAGTTTTGGGCGGAACAAGAGAAAGTTAATGGACAAATGGAGAGTAGACGTAAAACAGCCGCCCCGACGGACGTTTGAACAACACAAAAACATTTAGGTTTCAATTATAAACAGCCTTTTATTAAAACACACACCTTCATACTGTAGAATAATAGTGCACGTTCATCGTGCATGTGGCAGCAGCTGCATGTCTTGACCTTCGGGATCGTGAAGGGGGTGGATTCTGATGAGGGCGGTTGTTGGTAGAAAACTGAAAGGTTCAAAAATATAAATTAGTCTTCAAACTCTACGGATGTTCTGTGAACGTGTTTCATACCTGGTGTTCAGAGGAGTGATGAAGATGAACTGCCGAAGGTGCTGCCGCTCGGACAGCTCCAGGAGGAGGTCCAAACAGATCCTGCGGTTGTGCATGTCCTGCACAGGAAACAATGACTTCAGTTCATTTAAGCAAATCATCGTCTGGGTCGGGCCCTTCGTGCGCGCTCACCATGTAGACGTCGAACTCGTCGAGGCATCTGAACGGAGACTCGGTGATTTCCCACAGAGACAGCATGAAGCAGACGGTGGAGAAGGAGCGCTCGCCGCCGGACAGAGACCTCATGTCGCTCGCGCCATCTTTCTCCCTGCCTGGAGGCTTCACCTGCAGCACGTTGGGACGACGTTTATTTAGGAACAAACATCTTAAACCTCATCGGGGGGGCAGACTCCAAGCTAACGAGTCTTTAATTAAAGCTTGCATCAGAAAGTCAAACTTCTTTTAGAGTTTTTATTGTTAAACTCTCTGACGGCGGTCCTCCATGTTCAGTAGAACTGGATGATGTAAAACAACCAAAGAAATGTCACTTCCTGTGAACATGCAGCGCGAATGCAGAATGAAGAACTTGCTGGAAAACAGCTGAAATTAGCTCAAAAACATGCTAAATGTTAGCTGAAAAGGAAGAACAAGTCTAGACTAGCAGAGAAAGTAGAAAGAAACATTTGTGTTGAATTAGGTTTAAATAAGCACAAATGAGCACAAAAATTATGAAATTAGCTAAAGAAAGAGCTGAAAATTAGCTGAAATGGCAGAAATAAGCTCAAGCAGAAGAAGAAGGAAGGGGAAAGAGTTGAAATTAGCTAAAAAATATGGAATAAGCTGAAAAAGCTAAAAATGTAAAAAGAGCTAAATAGAAGCTGAAATAACTGAAACTAGCAGAAATAAGCTGAAATGGGCATAAGAAGATGAAATTAGTAAAAAGAAGTTAATTAGACTGAAAGTAGCAGAAGTTACCACAAAAACTTGAATTTGTCTGAAAACAGCTGAAATGAGCTACAAATGCTAAAAAGGTAGCTGAAAAGGTAAAACAAGCTTCAATTAGCAGAATAAAACAGAAAGAACATGTGTTTGCCCAATTAGGCTGAAAGAAGCAGAAATTAACACAAAAAGTGGAAATTAGCTGAAAAACTGAAATTATCAACAACAACAAAACAGCAGAAAAGTAGCTATAAAAGCAGAAATAAGCTAAAATTACAAGGAGAAAGTAGTGAGAACACAATTTTGCTGAATTAGGTAAAAAAAAAAAGAAGTTTAAATGAGTGCAAAACGTGGAATTAGCTAGAAAAGCTCAAATTAGCATTAAAAAAAGCTAAATAGTAACTGAAATAGCAGAAAAAGCTGACACTGAAAGGAGCATAAGCTGAAATTAGCAGAAAGAATCAGAAAGGATCACAAAACAGCTGAACAAACTGTGAAAGGAGCAGTAAAAGTTGTAAACAGATATAAAGATTTGAAGAATGTAAAATGAGCTCAATTCATTTTCTGTGAGAACAAAAAATGTCAGAAAAGGCTAAATATTTCAAAAAGCTAAAGTCGCGCCAAAACCAAAAGTCACAGAAGGATGAACGTTTTGATTTATTGTTTGTTAAAATAGATGAAAACTGTGGAACGAGTTAAGTGCTTCACAATATTACTCCTGACTTGTCTGGTTTGATCCTTGGTCTTCATGATGCCGTTTGATCTGAGGCCTTCACAGCTGGATTTATACTGACATTAAATGAAACAGCTGGATTGGTTTTACTGGTCTTCTGAGGGCGAGCAGTTGCTCAGAATTAAACGGCTGAAGACAAATGTCCTCCACACGTTTCTGGATTTATTTAGTAAATTATATATTTTTTAAAACGTATCATTTTCTTTTATCTTCACAATGACGCCTTTTTTGTGCGACACATAAGATCCCAGTAAAACTCTTTGCAGTTTGTTGAAACGTGACAAAATGTGGGACAGTTGGAGCGGCGAAGAGCTGATGAAGACACGTACCAAGATGGAGAGGGTCTCGTTGTTGTGATCAAAGATCATGGAGCCGCAGCAGTTCATCTTGATCAGGAAGTTGTTGAAGTACAATTTACACCTGACCGACAGGGACCTTCAGGAACAAGAGCAAAGAGGAAATTAAATCAACGCCAGGACCCACACGGCGTGTCGAAGCCGAGGGTTTACCGTCGCAGCACTTTGTATCGGTTCTGCCGGTCGGACATGATGTTTCTGAGACGATCGATGAACTTCCGCAGGTCCCTCACTTGGTTGGTCTTTTCTTTGTAGAGGGAGAGAGCCTCGGCGTATTCCCTAATGGAGGTCAGAGGTTAGAAGAAGGTTCAGTCCAAACATTTCTGACTTCACACCCGATGCCCATGAGGCGGACCAAAGATCTGATCTAGCCTCTTTTTGGGGGTGCTCAATTTTATTAACTCAGCACCCTGAGGAATAAAGTTTGTTTTGTTTTTTGGGTTGTTCTTCCCTTCTTTCTCTCCTTCTTTCCATCCATCCATCCATCCATCATCATCTTTACCCGCTTCTTCCTTGTCAGATCACAGGGGTCACAGGTGCCCATATCCAGCAGTCACTGTGTGAGCGGCAAGGGACACCTGGACAGGTCTCCAGTCCATCACAGGGACACAGAGACAAATGAGACAACATTCTCTCTCATCTAGGGACAATTTAGAGTCACCAGTCAGACCAACGTGCAGGTTTCTGGTCTGTGGGAGGAAACTGGAGTACCCGGAGAAACACGCAGCACAGAGAGGACATGCAAACTCCAGCCAGAAAGGTCCCGGGCTGGGATTTGAACCAATGACCTCGCTGAGAGGAGACGGCTCTATCAACTGAGCCACTGTGCCGCTCCTGCCCAGAACTGCTGGTCCCAAATCAAGGTCAAAGTTCAAACATAGCATTTGCTTGTCCGGACCATAACTTCTGATCCGCTTAAGATAATTTAACGAAACGTGACACACACGCATCATCACTTGACCGAGTGTCGCATACATTTTTTTAATCATCCCAGCTCCAAGGTCAAGGTCACAAATCAAGGTCAAATGTTATAAAGGTCTTTGATTGTTCAGACCAGGGCTGTATAACAGTTTGTTGACGGGTGAGTAATGTGCTGAACGCTCTCCGGGACCTCCTCTCATCTATGCTCTCTATCCTGCTCTTGACCCAGATGTGGGTCATCCCCCCCTCCCCCCCGCCTAAAGGCAGTCTCAGTCCTGAACCACATCTGGAGGAGAGGACGGGGGGAAACGAGGCAGGAGAAGGCTCGTTGGATCAGCTTGGAGTCAGGACGCACACACGCTGTTTGCTGTGGAGATCCTGTGCACGGCTCCAAACCAAGGACGTCTCGACGCCCCTCTCCTCCCATCACTTCCTGTCACTTCCTGTCATTTCCTGTCACTTCCTGTCACTTC